AATTTCATGTGCACGGACCCCCATAAATATCTACAGTGGTTTACTGGTGTAAACCACTGTTAATATTTATAATTAACATTTATTATACACAGCAGAAAAACACATTATATCAGTAAACTTGCAATGTTGGCTTCGGCTAACATTTTATATTATTCTATATTTAACAATTCTAAATTCCATATTTTACAATATAGAATAAATAAAACAAACTGAACAATAATGACCCTGTGTTACTGTCACCCATATAAAGGTGTCTGTGTCTTCAGCAGAGGATTTCCAGCAAATTACAAAAACCATTCTGTAAAAATGGAACAGGCAGCCTTCCTGGTACAAGAGATTTAACAAAATTGATGTTAGCAACTACAACATTTAAATTTAAAGGGATACAAACAGAATGTAAATCACCATGTATTTCTTTTGTAGTTAAATATCAATAAAAAGATTAAATTTGAGTGGCCTAATATTTACATCAAAAAGGAATAGTCTATTGTTTGAGTTTTATACTTAGTGTGTGTGTGTGTGTGTGTGTGTGTGTGTGAGTGTGAGTGGGTTTACCTATCCTTATGGGGACACAATATCCGTTTTTTTCCCTTATGGGGACCGGTTTCCTGGTCCCCATAAGGGAAAACTCTATTTTATAAAAATTGGTGACTGCTATGAAAAAACTAAAAATGCAAAAACACTTATATTTTGTTTGGTTACTTATGGTTATGGTTAGGGCAGGGTAGAGGTTAAGGTTGTCATAGTTAGCGTTAGCATTTTTCCCATTGAAATGAATGAGCGGTCCCCATAAGGATATGTTTACCCTACGTGTGTGTGTGTGTGTGTGTGTGTTTTACACTACGGAAATCCTGCCACAAAAAAGAGATAAGAGAGATGGCTATGGAAAGCACTGTGAGGGGACAGCTGAAGGGACAGAGGTCCTGAAAAAGTAAGTGAAGGAATACGGATAAGGTCCAAAACCAGTTCACAACTCCAAAATATATATTAAGTTTTTTTTTTTTAATAATTTGTAGTTTACAAAAAAGCACTCGTTACCATTTGAAAAGACTTTAACAAAGTGAAACATACTGAAAAGTTTAAGCACCAACCAAATTTGAACAGAAAAGGTACTGATATTTGTTATCAATTACAGAACATTCACAGTCAGGTTTACAGCCAATTTTAAACTGATTTTCAAAGTAATACTATGACATTTATCACATAGTTTCAAAACACCTTTTATGCTGCAAAAAAAAAACGATTTGCAGAAATTAAGTTCCCAGAATAGTATGAATGTACATTACAGAAAAGTATGCTGACAGTTCGAACTGTATATAATTTAACTTTTATCATTTACATTAACTCTGCTTTTATAATACTTAATACAAAATCAAAAACCCAAAAGTTGACTAACCACTTTAACAATAACAATAAATCTAATAATTCCGTGGGCACTCCAATACAATACCAAGGCATGAGAAAAAGTAAGGAACATTTGGTCTTACTCTATAATATACATACTTTAAACAATACTATAAATGCATTCCTGATATGTAAATCACAGCTCAGCTTAAAGGACAATCCTTACTCATAACTGTAATACGTCATGAAAGTGATACTGAGGTTGTGGCCCAGGATTTCCTTGGTTTCCATTGTGCCATTACATCATACCCTCCACCAATGATTCCACGGCTATACAGAGTATAAGGCAGCCCTTTCCAAGTATATGGCATTGGCACTGTGTATATGGAAAAGGACAGATATTTGACATGTTTGACACATCAGGTCTGCCTTGTCCTTGCCAGGGGATGGCTGTTCGGGACTCTACACATATTGCTCATTCGTGACATACTTTCACACTTAAATTGTACGTATTTTGAGAAACTGAGAGCAAAGATAGACAGTAAAGCTGAAACACGGGCAGAGATACTACTAAAAATCAGATGTACTGATGTAACATCAGTGAAACATAAATAACCCACAGATGACATCATATTAGACTTCATGTTTGATTTTAAGTTTTACTGATAAAATTCAAAAGCGTCAGCATGAACATTAAAGCACAATTTTTATGCTTAATGTGTTCATCGGGATACTGAGGTTTGTCTGTTTTTATTTAGGGCAAACTGGCTTTTATTAACCCAGTCAACCATTTTGAGTGCTTCACTAGTTTGCCAAATTAATCGGGCCAACGTAAACCAAGTGCAACTAATGATAATTTTAAGTGTTTCTCATTTTGAGAAGATGCAGGCTTCAGTATAAAGCAGGGATGCACCTTTACCTATACAGTAGAACTTCAGTTCTCAAACGTTTCAAATATCATACAATTCGGTTCTCGGCAATATTGTTTGGTGAAAAAACGTCTCCGTTGTGGAACATATTTTCAGTTCTCAATCAACCGACCCATTCCCGCTAAAACCCGTCTGACAAAGCACACGTCTTTCTACACATAAACAAAGGAAAAAATGCGTGCGTAGGAGTCAGTTTATCGCTAACGTTCGCGTATTGACTATCTCTGCCGAACTGTGCTGTTAATATTCTCGTGTTTTGTTTTACTTTTACTTTGTTTTGAAATAAGTCACCGTGGGTCCTAAGAAGGTTAGGGATAGCAGCAAACACAAAGCAAGGTTGTGAGAACCATGATAGAGCTTAAATAGGAAATAATTGCCAAGTATGATAAAGGTGTTGTATGGAATGTAGAAATCAATTTTTCAATTATTTAATGTGTTTATGGGTTTTGATGTTTTTATTTATCGTTTTAGAATTATAATGTATTTTACAGGTTTAAATATATAGGCAATCGTTTGGGGGCCTTGGATGGATTAATCCAATTTACATTATTTCTTATGGGAAAAATCATCAACCAAATCAGTTCTCCAACAGCCTTCTGGAACAGATTAAGTTCGAAAACTGAGGTGCCACTGTACTAGCACCGGTACTGAGTCCGATACCATGCTCATGTTGTACACGTACTCCTCCTTGTGATAATCCCTGTAACCAATACCACGAAATGACTATGAGCAATATCATTAGTGAGCAAAATACACAGGACAAGATATCTGCGTTCTGGAAATACTTCAACATTAACAAAATCCAGAGCATAGCGGACTGCAAACTGCAATACTAAGCTATCAAGAAGAGGTACGAAATCAGGTTCATACCTCACTAGTAGGTCTAATCTAAATTAAAAAAATAAAAATTAGGAAAAAGTATGACGAAATTTCCCGCAGCAGCAACTCTGTGAGCAAATCTGCAGTAAACACTTGCACAGAGATAGAAAATGTCAAATGATAACCCCCGTGCAGTGAAAATTAGAGAAACTCTTTCTCTGTATCGGTCAGACACAATGTCATAATGGTCGTAGGAGGAGAGCGTATGGGGGACACGGTGTAAAAAGTTTGTGAACCACTGCCTGAAAGATCTGAACAGTGGCAAGGGTAAAAGGTTTTAGAGTGATGTTTTTAAATCATAATTATCTCATACATCCAACGCTTTCCGCAGAGACTAAAAAAATGTTGTTCAGCCCTGATGATCAGTCCCCCCCTCCCTGATGGCAAATCTTAATGCCGGCTGTTTAGTCTGTCCTCTGTAGGCCTGCATTGTTTTGTTCAGTTTTTTTTTGGGGTGTATTATCATTTATCCCAATACTTTTAAGTTATAATACTGAATATTATTCTTAGACATGGTACTGTATAGCCCTAATTGCTATCAGTACTCGTAATCGCTCTGAAAATAATGATATCGGTGCATCCCTAAGAGTGTAGAAACAGCAAAATTTACATCCTGGTTAGTTGGCCTGCACTCTTAATTACTATTACTTTAGATACGAGAACAAAAATGGCATTCCCTTTTACTCACATGAATAGTATGGTTTATTTTCTCAATAAATTGTGGGACTGTGATTTTCTTTTTTTTTTAAGGTGCTTTAAAGACTAAAACAATACATACTGGTTTCACAATTATGTTCACATTTCATAAAATAACATATGTTCTGTACGGGACTTGTTTTCAATATTATATCAGAATTAAAACAAATGAAACAATAGATGCTTAATATTTAAGAACTATTTACTTAATCAGATTGCACGATCGCTAATCACAGCACAGAATGCACTAATTACATTATTCTAAATAACTCCAGAAGAAGAAGGCCTTCCTGAAACCCTGACATGATATGGGTGGTCAGTAACTGGCGGTGTCCTAATTAATGTATAGATTGTCAGCAACATACGTTGTAGGATTACAAAAAAAAAAGCCTCTGTTTTATCGGCTGAAACACTGAAGTGAAAAGCGCAAGCTGTATGTCTACCCCAGTCCCCAGTCCCCAGTCCCCAGTCTCATCAGCCAATCACCATCCATTTTTGGTCTTTGCGATCTGGGACTCATGCATCGATTATCAGTCCCTCTTGGCTTCCTGGCTCCTGCCGTGGAGTAAAAGGGAGACTCAGGTCTCTGGGCAAGAATACTGCTCACTGAGGGCAGGGGCCGGTCCAAGGTACGAGCGAACTGCGTGGCCACCAGGGGGCCAGCTTCTGACCAGCCCGTCAGAACGGGAAGAAAGATGACAAATGACAACTAGGTTAATCAAAACTTGCTTAGGGCCATGAAAAAAAAAGGTTGGGTGGGCCCTGACTGAGGGTGTGGGTCAGAGTCCAGTCTCCTGTGGCAGCCAGGGCAAAATGCCCCTTCCGGACCCAACGCCCACCTTCACTGGTGATTCACATTGCAAGTGCTGAAAAGAGCAGGAGGCCGAAACTGAACAAAATTGACGATTATAGAAAATGTATGTTATTCCCGTATGTTCAAAAGGAAACAGATTTGGGTGTCAAATACTGTGGCGGGGGGGAGGGGGGGTCCTTCCCATTTGTGGAGCCGAACCCTGTTTTCGTCCCAGGATGCCGGGCTTCCCCGTCCTGCCAAGGCTGAGGAGGGGCAGTGACCATGGTGCTGCAGGCCAGCTGAGCGCCAGGCGGAGGAGACCCCGCTCTTCCGCACGCCCCTCACCCCTCACCCCTCACCCCTCACACCAACATGTGGCGACGGCGGTGCAGCGCCAGGTGATCTGAGCGGGAGAAGCTGCGCTCGCAGTCCATGCACTTGAACGGCTTGACGCCCGTGTGCTTGCGGTAGTGCCGCGTCAGCTCGTCGCTGCGGGCGAACTTCCATGTGCAGCCGTCCCACGTGCATTTGTATGGCTTCTCACCTGAAGGTGCGGGAACATGAAGGAGACGCCATGAAATGCAGATACAACAGCCAGCTGCTGAACCACCTTAGCATGGGTAATATGTTCATGATGCTGGACAGCTAGATCAAAACTTGTTCGGAGGTTATAATATCTGTTCGCATGCAGGAACAATAAAGACTTTGCACTATCCAACGGCTAATATGTGATTTTAACATTAAAATAAACAAACTGCAACCTAGTTATTAAGGGTCTTAGTTAGTTGTAAGTCAGTTTCAGTGCTTTTTTGTTTGTAATGAGATTGTCATGTCATGTTTGTCAGATCTTTCCCACCAAAAGAAAATGGAAGAAAAATGTATTTTATTTCAATGTAGTTTCAGTTTGGAATGATGCACACAGTTTGCATCACTAGTAGTACCAGTGAAAGCCCACATGGTGGCGCTCGGAAATTACGAGCAAAAGTAGCTCGTTAAATCAGCCCCCCCCTCGGAATATAGCGCCATAGCCTGCTGCCTACGTCACCCAATGGGTCGGACCAACACTGACCACTGGTACCTGCAGAGCTCAGAATATTCATTGTCCTAGAAAGAACACACCTGCTGATCTGGGGCCAGTGAACTCACCCGTGTGTGTCCTCCGGTGCGCTTTCAGATGGGAGCTCTTTGTGTACACCTTATTACAGCCGTCAAAGTCACACCTGTGGATGCGTCTCTTTTTGGGATCTGGGGACTCGGACCTCCGTGGGCGCGACATGCTCTCGATGCTGAATGGAGACATGGAACTGGGACACAAAAAGAAACCAAAACAGATCATTAGCGAAACACTTGGCTGCAACGTAAAGTGAAAAGAAACATTTCTGTTTTCAAAACATACCAATGGCAAGTAAAGCAGAATCCAGAATATAAGCCTGCAGTGACAAACATTAATACAGCAAACATACAGTGAATTAGGCTGACAAGTTAGAAATTTAGCACTGCAACTGATTGCCGTATAACTCTAAAGAGCCAAAGCACTTCATCTAAGCTGCGTCCAGCTGTGTGAACAGTATCAAATTAAACACGTAGGAGGATTTTCATCTGTTTTCTTTCAGCTCTTTTCTACGGTACATTGCAGTTATGTACAGGGGCACATAGATGGAAATGAGTTTTATGTCATTTTATTTTCACTGGGTAAACTCTGTAGATTATGGTAAGCTTGAAAGAGAAAAAGGCCAATGTTTCTGCGGATCATCCGCCCATGAATTACTGTACAAACCTGCGCGACAAATTTCTGATGACACCTTCATTTGATGACCCAATCAAAGGAAGCAAAGCAAATGAGTTTCATTTCCAGCATGTTTACAAGGGCGTAATAAAAATGGAAATGACAGATGAGTGACAGCAACGAATCTTAATGCATCACTTAATCTGTTTGTCCTGGAATTAATAGTTTACCTAGTTGATTTTGCTACCCTTTACTTTCCTCTCCATTTTTCCTTGATAGCTTCTTAGGTAGCAAAAAATGACAGCCCACTACTCTCCTCTGCCTTTTCCAGAACTGACATTATGAAGTTCAAGTGTACAATGAACTGATAGGGGGCTGTATGAGGTTCAGTGGGCTACGCATCTGTGCCTGTGACTGGAAGGCCGCTGGTTTGGGCCCTGCTTTGGCAAAATAGTCACGTGTCTGTGTGAGTAAGACCCTCCACGGGCACCACTGCAGATGGTTGCCCTTCACTGCCAAACTTGCTCTCACCTACACATGTGTCTCTGTGTCACGGAGAGCAGGATGGGGAAGACAAAAAGATGATCTCCCTACAGGGATCAATAAAGATGTGATTTTTTTATTAGATATTACTATTATTTATTGGTGTTGTAATTGGTGGTTTATTGTTATGTATGTGAAATAACACTGTGAAATGTGTACTACACAGTTAACTTTGGCAGTCTACCACTGCCGAAACACTGACATTAAAAGCAATGGTTATTGCTCTTCTCAGTAATGGCCATTAGGGGGCGCTGTGGTCTTATTACTAGCAGCACCAGCATGAAAAAGGCCTACTACTTGTGGTGAAGAAGACGGAGAAAAGGTCCCTTTAACATAAGAAATAGCACAACTAGAGTGAAGTACCTGTATAGGAATTTGCTCCTAATAATGTCTAGAAAAAATGCCTTGTGGATTGAGGTTGTAGGATTAAATTTTATTATTATTAATAATAATAATAATAATAATAATAAAATAATGAAAGCCGGAGTAATTTAAACATTCTTTTACACTGTTTCCATCTGCCTGCAATATTACCGGCATCTACATTTTGAGAGCAAACTTTTAGATTGCAACAGCATCCTATGCATGATGTGTCTATGACTCTTAACTATGAAAATGAACATCGACAATGAACAAGATACAAGACGTTCAAAATAATCTGGATGTAATGACGGTGGTCATTCTGATGGCGTAGCATTCGAAAGCAAGAAAACGTTCACCTTGTTTCTGTACGTCTTATCCTATGTATGAACTTTAATGATGTACACACATCTCTAACAAAAAATATGCTGTTTTGTGTCAGAAATAACTGCAAGTTTATTTCTTCTGTTTCACATGCATTCATCCTAAAATAACCCTATGACACATAACATTTTGTATTTTTAGAGGAGCAGATGTTAATTGGACCATAGACAAGAAAGATATGACTGTTGATCTACTGTTTTTATGCAGGGAGTATTGACACATAGACCGACACAGAATACACCCAGGCAAACTCATGGGCCAGTTCAGTGGACCAGTAGATACTGTGGTTTTAAATAAATGGATGAGTTTGCCCAGGGATGCCATTAGCAGCAGTATTAACTTTCACACCTAGGGCATTCTAGCGGGAGCCGTCCGTCTGAACGCTCTTCAGCTACATCCACACCCGAGTGACCTGAGGCTCAAGGGAAGCACTTAAAGCTGACATATCCTTTCAGATAGACAACCAACCAGCCAGCAGTACTCAGAAGCTCATTAATATGGAAAAGCCACGGCACCGGTGGATTGGACCTACACTCTTTAAACTGATAAAGTAACGTGATGTTTGAACACGTCCACAACGCGGACGGTTCTCCCCTTCCTCCTAATCAAAGACACGTCAAATCTAGTATCGCTCCCAGCCCGGCCACACCACTGGTTTCTCACAAGTGTTCAGATAACAACAATCATCTCCCCTGCCCCCGTAAATGCGTAGGCTACTTGTGTCTGAAATAAATACAAGTGGGCTAAACTTTTTTGCGCACGGGGAACTGGCGGAACACGGAATTAAACACGTTTTCGAGTGCAGGGACTCTTATCGGATTGCAAGTGACTGGAAGAAGACGGCCAAAAGGAAATAAGACTCATCGAGTGAAATGTGTAAAACCAGCGTGTTTATTGCTTTACTTGAGTAGCCAACTCTAACGAGCCGGTTGTTGTTTAGAGGGTTTTTCACTTAAGGCACAGGAAATCTGTGACGTGAGCTGGCTAACATTAGGATCGGAGAATATAACTGACGTAACAATAGTAAATGTAGTGAAAAAGACTGAATAAAGAGATGTTAAACGGCCAGTTAAACGTCGGGGCAAAAACACTGGGTAATAAGTTGATGTACACCAGAATAAATAGTAGAATAATTCTACAGAGTATATTCATTGGTTTTCAAAATTGTTTTTGCCCGACATCAGAGAATAATGTGCAATGTCCGAGAAATCTGTCCTACCGACAAATTTCGCCTCACAGTTTAACATGCAGGAATGTACAGTATATTATACATGGTGACAGCTATGCAGACAGACATACCAACAAGCAAGCAAACAGTCTCATGCTGAAATCTGTGTGCAGGCCTAGTTAATGCGTGGGTCATTTTACGACAATCAAACTTAAGAATGGGAAACGGGAAAAATGTAAGATACATAGCAGGTTGATGGATTAATGGGGTTTGTAAAAAGAAGAAAAAAAATATGAAGTGAGCTTCCCAAAAAGTCAATGCTTTATATCAGGGTTCTTCAACTCTGGACCTCGATTCCAAATCCAGGCCGTGTTTTCAGTTCTCCCAGGTAGTTGTTTAATAATTACTGATTCTGATTGGTCAGAGGCTTCACACCTGACTGACAGGTAAAGGAAGGCTGGAAAACCAGCAGTGCTCGGACCTCGAGGACCGTGAGTTGAATAACCCTGCTTTATATGTTCACAAATAATAAATATACCTCCAAAAGAAGAAAAATGTTGCTTTCTTAATTGGCAAGACTCTTCTGAAATGTGATGGACAGAATGAGGGGAAGGCTTCGGAGCAGACTGAGCTGTGAAGGATACTCACTCCTGTACGGCCCTGGCGATGGAGAGTGCGGTGGAGCCCGTCTCGTTCACGCTGTCCAGCGTCACGTTTGGCAGGTCGTCATCGTCGCTGTCGTTTTTGATTTCCCTCAATAAGCCATTAGGATTAGATAGTGCTGCATTAAAAAAAGAGAGAGAATCCTTTTTTTAGTCAAGCAATATTAAACATATTCAAATGTGGGAATGATTCTCTTACTATGGAAATGTCACCATCATAAATAATATCAGAAACTTACTGTGGTTGATATTTTTTTTCAGAATGTTATCACTTTTTCATTAATTTGCTTGGCTTTGTCTCTCACCAAAAGCAACTCAAACATAGCTGGATATTTTCCTGTAGAAATTCATGTCAGGTACTTTACCCAAAGTGTCAACAGCAGGCTGTTCCGAGGGCCGCTGCCCCTTGGGTATCTGACCATATCTTGAGCCTCTACCTGCTACCCCATTATCTACTCAACATGCCCAGGAGATTCAAATACATTTGTCGGGTTGCAAACTTCGGTCGGCTGGTTGGAGTGAGATTTTCACTTTGAGGCAGGTCTGCACACACCGGGCCAATTCCTCCACCACTGTCCCTTGTTTCCTGAATCTTTCGCAGTTTTCATTATTAAGGTCACACTTCTAATCATCAATATCTCTATAGTACTCATGCAGATGTATTATACTCTTCTATTGAAATTTCTATTCACATCTATTGACATCAACTAAAACATAAATAAAACGATAATGGATTATGTTATTCTGTCAGGGACAACTAGGATATTTTAAGGTAGGGGCAAGCATTACAGGGGACATAATTCATATAGAGGGGAAAACCTTATCATCAGCCAATAATATGTTTCAAATCAGTGAGTGACAGGGGAGGGGGCATGCCACAGCCAATCAGCTTTCACCTGGGACAAGTGCCTCATTAAGTTGCTGATCATATCTGTAAATGTTTCTGCAGTTTCTGTAGTATTGGAGTAATGGGGTAATGTTACCACTCCAGTTGGTGAGAGCTGAGAATATAATTGCTTTTTCGAAATATTTACTTAAATAATAATTTATCACAGCTGGTGTTTCAGTAAGCCGGGACATAGAATTTCAGAGTAATATGTGTCGATCCTAATTTTGGTTACTTTTAGACTATTACCAGAACTGACATATTGCCCAAGTAATAAAAATTAGGCTTTTTGTTAAAAAAAAACTTTTTAGGAATAGATCTGGGAGGAAAACACAGCCTTACCCAACTGAGAGACGTAACAGTACAGGGATGTGAATGGTCCTCACTATGACCAACATACAGTATATCAACAAACACATTCGGAAAGTGGCAAGTCCTTGGTGCTGATGGTTTTTAAGGCTTGTCTTGTTTACATTTACATGGTGATGTAACCGAAGGATGAGCTGGAGGGGTACCTGTCATGTGGAGTATTTTGGAAAATTGCGTGTAATGTTCCTGGCGCTAAAAAGCATTGGGGACAACAGTCTGATTGCAAAAATGGTGAATGAGCAGGAATGTTTGTAATGAGCATTACACAGTTGAAAATAATGGATGTTATGTGCAATTAAACATAGATATACCAAAAAAAAACCCTTGTTAAAGTTGTGCATATTAAGAGCAATATATGTTCTGTGTCAAAATATTCAAAGTAAGCATAATAAAAGTAAGAGTGAAAATCTTGATGACTGCGGTAGATAAGCAGGACTGTCACAACTGGTAGAATTTTGGTTTGTTTGGCAATTGGATGCAAAAGTCACCGATGGACCAGTTTGGTTACACTGGTCACACTGGTGCGATTTCTGAGACGCCAACAAGCCAGTTGGCACCTGTTGCCATGGTTTCCGTAAGAGGAGAGAATTCTTTCAGCGGTTTCTTGGGCACCACAGGTTCACTATGTTGCCCTGTCTGCGTTACTTTAAGAACTCGCAAAAACAGGGTCCGTTTTTACGTATTCCTGTCTTCCAGGCAGAGTAAAGGTGGTGCTCACAGAGGCACTTACAATGGAATGTTTATTTATTTATTTATCTTCTGGGCAAGTGAATAGCCTTATCGCTAACAGAACTGGACTGGCTAAGTTCTGCAGAAGAGATTTAAAACACACAGGTGCCCCGCTGTGACTCGATAGCAGGCTGTAAAGGTTTACAGAATCAGCAGTAGAGACTTCAGAGAATTTGTTTCAAAAACTAAAGATCGTGGGACCAGCTACTGAAAACTGACAGCAGACCTGAGGGCAAGGGTGGTAGAGAACGTGTGGTTTTGATTAAAGTGGAGGTCTTACCCAAAACTACCTGAGCTTAATTAGAATAATGCATTTCATAATTTATCTCAATGCTGATGAAGAAGCATCTGTGCTTAGAGATTCATTTACAACCATTTTATTTCATCAATTAAACTAGAGTAGAATGAAAACAGGGTGGCAGCCCTTAAAGGCTAACAGTGCAGACGGAGAAGAGCGGTTGCTCACCCTTGCCCTGAGCCCTTCGCTTCTCCAGCAGAGGTAGCATCATTGCGGAGTTGCGGCTCCGGGGAGCGTGCATGTCCGCGTACATCATGGGCGTGGCCCGCACCACCACGGGGATGTGATGAGCGCGGCTGGGGAGCTTGGGGCTCTGGAGGGTCATGGGGCTGCAAGGGGACACGGGGTGGATGATGTGCAAAAACGACTGGCCCCTCATGACAGGGGAGGGGGGCAGCAGGGCACCCGACGTCAACACGGGGGAGATCCCTGAGGGCGGGGCTGACGAGATGATCGTGGGGGGGCAGGATGAAGTGGGGGAGGGAGAGAAGGCAGACATCGCCGGAGAGGACCGAGGGGACGTCCCAGCGAGGTGAGGGGAGAGTCGGCCTTTGTTGATTGACAAGTCCACAGGCTCAGTCTGTGTGTGAAACTGGTCATGGAGCTGTCGCCGTGGAAACTCAGGTCTCCCTTTTCTTAACAGGAGTGGAATATCCATGTTTGAGTAGTCATGGACTTTTGGGGGCTGTAAGGGGAAGAGAAATGCAGTTAGTCTCTTTAAAGTTCAGTCCAAGAAAGTTTAAAATGTATTAACAGATTCTCTGTTTGCGACATTTCCCTCAGTCAAAGCATAAACACCAATTGGGTATGCATTAAGGCATGGCATTGTAACAAAGCTGCACATACTGTATGAATTCTGGGACAAATTGCTCGTTACTCACTGAACAGAGGTGTTACAATAAAGAGAGTGTAACGTTAACCATCGTTCACCAAAAATGCACATATCAAAGTATGTTATGATGAAGTGTATTTACTGCTGTTTCAGATACTTGTTTGCATTCCCCCTGCTTATTTGAACTTTAAAGTTACTCCATGGAGAAAAGTACTGTGTTTACTTTAGAACGTCTCTGAGAGGGAGGACTTCAGCACAGACACCAGCTGTCTCACCGTCCTGGTTCCCATCACCCTCACAAGAACAGCTCTTTAGTTCTGCTAATGTCTTCAGCCAGTTTTATTTAATGCTAAAAAAAAACAGGCAAGCTGTGTCCTGTCTGGTGTGCTGTTTAACACCCGCACTTGTCATTTCTCTTTTTAATGATTTTTGATGAGGTATTTTTGACCATTCGGGGGTTTTGTTTAGTGATTTAAATTATACCAGTCAAATCATGCATTTACTTTTCAGGCGGTGCAAGTTTCAAGACTCACATTTCCTGTTAAGTTTATTGGAAAAAAATGCCACAATCATATTAAAAAGTGTAACATTTATCCAGTTAAACAGCACTTTTGATGCTCAACAAACTTTATTTATAAAGTAGAATGAAATGAAAAAATATTAGTAAAATTAGAATCAGAGTACAGATTTATATAATTTTACAAGTTATCAGGTTTTAAAAAAACATCCATTGAGGCAGAAAAGCTATGGGCATGAATGAAATGATTACTGAACTGTTAAACTAGTACAAAACTATACCTGTATTGTAACATCATATGTGAAAAATGTTTTAGTGTATTTTGTTTAAAGACCAGCATTTTTTTCTGTGTGTAATGCTAGCTGTAGTGACTGACTATATTTTCTATGTGCTATTTTAATCCTGGACTGCAATACAGTACCTTTGAACAGGAAGTAACACAGTTACAGTCAGCAAATACGATCTTATGGCATATAGCAGAACCACAACTGCAGTGAGGTATTGATTTACTATTGAGAAAACAGAAAGTTTCAAGCAATGAACTGAATTGTAGGAACAGAAACAAAATAAGAAGTGAAATTCAGATATTAAATTATATACAATAACCGTGTGTAAACTATTAAGTTTGGCATTATAGAAATTCTTTATTTTTAGCATTTGTTGTTGAAATACCATAAGAACATGGTTAGAAATATGTCATAACACCATGTCACAATAGCTTCTTACAGCTTATGACAACTGTTGCAACATGACATCTGTGTGGTTATTTTGTATGTAGAGATTTTGATATTTTTGAGAGCATGATGAATGTCTGTGTGGACTTTGTTCGATGAAGTGAAGAATAATTGAAGCCTGATGACACAAAGTGGGCCCAGCTGTGAAAGACAGAAGTAATGGAGGCAGTATCAGGTACAGTGGTACCTCGGTTCTCGAACTTAATCCGTTCCGGACTCCGGATCGAATCCTAAAAAGTTCGAGTTCTGATTGAATTTTTCCCATAAGAAATAATGGAAAACCAATTAATTAGTTCCCAGCCCCACAAAATTACACCTAAATATGTATTTTTTTAGCATTTAAACACAAAATAAACTGGATAAAACAAGAAGAGCATTTTTTTCTTAATGGCTTCCAAAACGATAAAGATCTTATCCCAACATTACCCCTGTCCTGCCCCGATCGTCCGCTCCCTCCGTGTGCCACGCCCCCTCGTTAACCTCGTATGGGATACCCATGTGATCAGCTGTTTCTGGTTGTTGTCATTAGTCCTCTGTATTAAGTAGGCGTTTCAGTTTGTTTCCCCAGTCCGGTCAATGGGTGCGTTCAACTTGCTTACAGCGCTGGCTTAAAGCAACGCATTCTGATCCTGACGCAATGCATTACGGTTAGATGCATTGCGACCTCTCACCCGGCTGCACAAACTGGAACCGCGTCCGTGACGACACACCTTTGCCCTTATTGGCTGAAGAGTTTATTACACGCATGACGTTTGTATCCCAGGCAGTTCCGATGCGTAATCTGCTATTTCTCCCGAATATCACGTAAAGCAGTGAGAACTGGTTTCTAGTTAATTTACCTGGTAAAATAAAGTTTAAATAAATGACATAAATGCTCTAATAGTACACGTAAGTTGGTGGTTTATTTATTGTTAGTTACTGTAATGTTGCGCTGCTTTATTTGGTTAATCGTCCAGTCTGTGAAGAAGGCATGCAAGTAAGAATTGCACTGTAGTCTGTACATGACAATAAAAACTTTGAATCCGGTCCATTGTTTATTTTTATTATTACTCTGTATTTGTTAATTTGTTCGTGAATAGCAAACTTTTAGGTTGTAACATTTATACAACTATAATTATGTAACTTTTTGGTGAGCAATGGCTAACAAAATGATATAAAATACTGTACAGTGTATTACCTGATACAGTATTTTCAATAAAATAGCATTATCACCATCAGGCGCTGCTACTACAGCAAATGCGAGGCTGACACTGAAGCGTTACCTTTTCAGAGACGTGCCGTGTGACTCATTTCCTGGCGTGTACAATTTATATTAGGTCAACTTTCACGATTCGACTTCTGATATTCAGATCGAGTTCTAGGTCGAACTGGTTTGTTCGACTTTCAAGAAATTCGAGTTCTAGTGAGTTCATCATCAGACTCTTGGGTACAGTCTCCTAGGGGAGATTTTTGGCCCCAGTATGGACTACATACTCCTCTGGTTATTGGGGGGGGGGGGGGGGGATCCTTAAGAAAAACTTAAGGATCACTAGATGGTTTTTCTCAGATTTCACTGTATTCCGCTATCTGGAGGAGTCACAGCAAAGGCAGAACCTTGTCAAAGAGGAGATTCCCCTGATTTTCATTGCTGCTCTGGGCTGGATCTAAAGGATGGACATGGTGTTACTGAGCTAGGCGTGATAGCTAACTCCCTAAAATGAGTTTATTTTATTTTTAATCTTTATATGTATATCCTATTGCATGGTTTCTTCAGCTTTTATAGTAGCAGTTTATATCTAAAATGAGTCAAAGGTTTACAGAATTGGCTCTTTTTAGTGTTAAGCACATTTGCACAGAATGAGAATCTGGATCACAGTCTGTTGGAGTTATTGCACTGCACCAACACTTTTCTAATTAAGTGACAAAACAACAAAGAAATGCAGGCAAATTCCAGACAGATGCGGCATATTGTATTTTGGAAGTATAGATCACATTGTTTCAGTAGTCATCTTTCACCAATAGTTTAATTTCACGTTTTAAAAGTAAATCGGTGCTTCTGTTCAGGTGTCACCCTACCTCCCCAGGACTCCACTGCTGAGGACAGTAGCCACATAAAAGTCTAGTGCTTGAAGTCTTATTAACGACTCCAGCCTGCCTCCCTCCATAGAGTAATCCCGGTTTTGTTCCTGCCATTAAGGCATGACTGGGTTATGAAAGTGCATAGGTAGTTAGGTAAGTATAGTTTATTGGTCCCCAGGGGAAATGATTTAATACTGATGATATGTTTGGTTAAGTTTGTTACCCAAGAGGTACGTCAGTGAGCCTCCCTCTAGCTACAGTTCAAGTTTGAATAAACGATGGTTGTTCATCCAAGATGCTGGCTTTTTTTCTCCCAGAGTGCTGACTGTCCTCCAGTACTTTTGTCCATGGTAATGAATGTCCTGAGACTCAGGCTTTCAAAACTCAGAACACCAGTTATCCCAGCTGTCCCCCTCCGCCCCCCCCTTCCCACACCCTCTGCTTCAGGCTGGGTGACATTCTCTTATTTAGGGCAAGCACTTAGAACAGCTAATTTTCCGGTAAGAAGTCAAAGACTCAGAGGGGTTGACTGTTTCCAGAAAGACCTTGGCTGCAAGCCATGCAAATGAGGACCATGCGTCTGTAGTCTGTGTTGAACGTGATCGTAAAAGTTGCCAGATTAGCATGATACGCTTCGAAGCAGATCCGCACGAACGCTGCCGCTGAGTGACATCACTACATGAGGAAATCAGTGACAAGAAGCCATTTTCAGAACCGCGGGCTAAGGCACTATGGATAAATAATGTAGTTCTGTAAAATGAACAGCCATTTTTATCCATCCGTCCGTGTTCTATACCAGCTTGTCCTAATCAGGGTGGCGGGGTCCGGAGCCGATCCTGGAAGCTATAGACACAAAGCAGGGAATAACCCAGGGCAGGGTGCCAACCCATCGTAGCAGCTGTTTTTAATGTGTCACAATCCATTAATATATTAATGTATTTCCTGGAAAATGACATATTTTTCTCAAGAATGATGAATTTATATTCTAACAAAACACATTTTATATTTATATTCTTTTATTATGCCGAGTATACAGTATCAATGCCAGATGCTGCCCTTTAAAAAACAAAGACACAGATAAACAATGAGAATAGGACTACAAAAAAGCAGCTCAAATATACAACTATAGTTTAAGTTATATACTGTTATTTCTGTAGAAGCTGTAAGAACATGAGCCAAGACTCGTCACACATTCTGGCCGGATCATGGGAAAACATTTTGCTAATTTATACCTGAAACTAAGTATACCTGTGAGCTTCTCCATAAGCATAAAAGACAAAGACAAAAAGACAAAGTAAATCGGGGCTCATAATTCCTAGATGCGGCGACACCCTCTAGAAGTGATTACTCGAATAACACTATCATAAGCTGAGGCTGGGTAACCAAACTTTAAAATCAATGAATTGTAACACATTTTCGCAGGAAATTCAAAATATTACGACTAAAATCAGCTAAAATATTATGTAACAGTGTTCTTATTTTAGTGTTTATCGTAAGCTTAAGCAATTCTGTATAAAACTCTTAATTCAAAGGCGAGGTGGAGCAGGTGAAGAAAGTTCGAGGATGGCTCTGGTCTATTACATGTGCAGTAAAGAGGGATCGTTCATTACAGGTACAACTAAGAGGGATGGTGCATCAGAGGTATGGATTACATGGCTGATCGGTTACAGGTGTGGCTGAGAGGACTGTGTCATTACAGCATCAACTCAGGCTTGGCCCACTACAGTCCTCACCGCAAGAGCCAGTCCATTACAGGTATAGCCAAGAGGGCGGCTCCATTACAGGTAAAGATGTCCAGGCATTACAGGTGTAATGGAGAAGCGTCCGCTGACTCACCGTTTGCTGAGACTCCAGTGGTTCTGCTTTGACTGCAGGCATACCGTCCAGCATTAGCATCCTACTGCTAATGGTATCTGCAGGAAGGGAAATGGAAGGAGGAGCAAATGAATTCCGGCACCCACAGTACCATGACTTTTTACTGAAGTTTATTACAAATAAGCAGTTACATTTTACCAATGCTCACATCCAGTAGCATGTGAATTCGAATAAAGAGAGACGCGGTCCGTTACGCTCAAAGTATATAGTGGCAGGCAGAAAGTGATGCCAGCTGTTTAAGTGGATCACATCAGGAATCATATAATCCATCCAATTTCCAACTGCCTATCCTGTAGGGGTTCACTCTGATTCTGGAGCCCATCCCAAGAAGTACAGGCCACATGGCAACCAAAGTTCTCTTATGTTATTCGGTTAACCATAAATATTCCCTTTTATGGGGCTCTTTGGGAGAGCTTCCCAAGAGCATCCATAGCTTATTACGTTGTACATGCACTGTATTTAAGACTAGATCCAGGTAGTAAAAAAAATTACAGGAAAGACGGCCCTCCCATTGCAGGTGAATCCCTGCCTTGTGTCCTGTGCTACCTGGGTCAAGGCCTGCAGCGGTCCGGTCCTAGACTTGGATGGATGGATGGATGGATGGATATTGGGATACTGTTTAAAAACATCCAATGCCCAGTTTATCAGAAAATTACCACATCACTAACTTTTACTTCCCAAAATAAATACATTTCTCTCTGGAAAATCCATTTTTAATGATTTCCCTTATGTTTATATTTTTTGCATTTTTTTGTCTAAATTCCCTTTAAATGTGCATGTTAATACTTCACCGAAAATACAACGATCATTAATAATAAATATTATTCACAGTTTTTTTTTCTTCTCAGGATGTCACAGAAAGCTGGTATTAGACTTTAAAAAGCATCACGTCAGTGTCATGAATAGTGTGGCAATTCAATTGTTGCAGCAGGCAATTTACTTTCTTGTAAGTAACTGGGATCTATTTTCATTTCTAGGCAGAAAAATAGTGGGCCTTGATCTTATAATTCCCAAGCAACAAAGCCGACTATGAATGGCAGGTATTCATTAAGATTTTCCGTGACATACACACTTGATGAATAAGGAGGGTCTGGTAGAACAAGTGTTAGACCTGAGCTACTGTATAGTATGACATCTTCCACAGATCTCACATCTGTCCATTCAGCTCTACCTGTTCTTGCATATGGATGGTTATGGGACAGATCTGTAAATTCCATGTTTGACATCATGGGTCTTACAGAGCTACATGTGTAATGAATGCCATTAGTTTGATTTCAAGTGAAATTACTTGTTATCCCCATACTTGTTATGTCCATACTTGTTATTCCCATACTTGTTATCCCAATACTTATCCCCATACATGTTATCCCAATACTCGTTATCACCATACTTGTTATGCCCATACTTGTTATCCCAATACTTGTTATCACCATACTTGTTATCCCAGTACTTGTTATCACCATACTTGTTATGCCCATACTTGTTATCCCAATACTTGTTATCACCATACTTGTTATCCCCATACTTGTTATCCCAATACTTATCCCCATACTTGTTATCCCTGTACTTGTTATCCCTGTACTTGTTATCCCAATACTTATCCCCATACCTGTTATCCCAATACTTGTTATTCCCATGTTGTTTTCCCCATATTCACAGGCACATTTTCATCTCTGAAATATTATGCAATCGAATTTTCTCATAAAAAATGAATAAAATGTAAATAAAAGTAGGTTCTGCTTGGGGTCTTATGCTTCAAAGAAAAATACATGCGTCTTTTCTAAGCACCAAATACAACAAAACAAGTATCCCTTGCTGGTGTCCTGGTATGACCCAATCCTCTGTTATTTTAGCAGTAGAAAAAGAATGACTGCAAGCAGGGTAAACATGTTCTGAACATCTCCGTTCCACTTCAGACTTGGCAAAAAATGCAAGAATTGTGTCTCTCATTTCCATTCAGCATTGGATCCCCTTCTGCTAAACGTAAGGGTGTCACATCTACAGAGACTCCAAATAAAATCCAGAATCCAAATAAGGAAGCCAAACATCAAAGCTAGAGCCTCACATGATGGAATGCTTAAGCAGTAACATACAAAGCAACTGCCAGGGCAAGAATATACTTTGGTATTTGGATATTGTTTTTTTTTTTACATATAAATGAAAGAAATTGTAACAACACACTGTATTATAATAAAAGGAACTATGATAAAATATTTTTATGGTATAGTTTTTCAATTCTGCACTTTTCCAAAAATGTTTAAAACACAGCAATAAGAAAAACACATTTAAAATCCTTTGGGTGTCTGAACCAAATCATCTTCTGTTACTCCATAGACATACAAAGCAGGTGTATATCTAAAAACATCTTTTAATATTCCCAACTTCACACAGTGTGGACTGTTGCATGCTATGTATTCTACTTATAGAGTTCTTTTGTGACCGTGATCTATACCACTAATTAATGCCTAAGGTGCATACAACTCTTAGCAATAGTCTTGTAATTTGAGTGTGATTGGCATGTCCTTTGGCTCCAAGACTTATGGCGTAACTATAGCAACAGAATATTGAGCTTGCAGCGCTTTAGGCGGTCCAGAAAGATATCCCCTGACACAAGGCTGCAGCCACGCCGACAAAGAATGGCCAGTACTGCTACCTGAACGCCCATTTCATCACGCCCTGCCACGATTAAAGGATTAACACAGATAATGCTTATGGACCAGTGAAACATAAAAGGGGAAGGTAGCATTGTAAAAATGATAAAGCAAACCAAAGTCTTTCATTTGTTTGCTTGCATGCTTGCTCATTTTGATTGACACCAACAGCTACTGACTGGAGATCCTTCTCCTCAGCATGTGAACACGATCCTCCATTTCCTTTATTCTTACGATTTTCACCCTTGGAAATCAGCTGTCCACAAGCAGAAAATCAATACCCTGAGCATGTCATAGACTTGCTGAGTATTGACCACGAGGGAAGAAAACGCATTGTTCTTCGCAAGTAATGACTGTCAAGTAACAAAAACAGCAGTTTTATTATTTGATCTGCTTTTCTTTTGCTATATTGTATGCTCTGCTTATACGGGGTATTTACAAGTTTAGTTCGTGGTTCAGAACATGTTTAATATAATTAATTTGTATGCAACTGCAAAATAAGGTTATGTACCTTGTACAGTATAAAGAATACCAAAATATGGCAGTTCAAAAACAAAAGCAAAATATAGTACTCATTAGCTTTGTGTTTACAAATGAAGTTTTTTTGACAGGTTTATACATCTACAGCAGTTGTAAACATTGAGAAAGCGTGAGACACCGATGAAGCGAAGGTCCAGAGGACCAGAGATGGTTCAGGGGACATATCAGTCTTCTTCTATTGCCCCAAAATCTCTGCTGCACAGTAAAAACTGCCTGACTGAATAGAGACAGGAGAAAATCCACCTCAGTCATGGGGTCTACTGAGGAATTTGATCTTCAGTCTCATTTTGAAATATGCCGTTCACACTCTCAGAAACCACAGTTAGTCACGGCGCTAACTAGTGATGTCAGCAGTTTCACAGGACGGCTTCTCGGTAAACTGGGGGATCAATTAAAAGTACAAAGAATTTGTAAAGAAAAAAACAGAATCTTCCCTGATCACATGCTGACCTGTACATATATTGACTGATGGAAAATTGTCAGTACTGCAGCATTTTTACAGTTAGTTTTTTTTCAATATTATCTGTCATCTAAATCGGCATCATCTCAGCAATCATTAGAGCAATTATGATTATGGTGACGCATACCATTAACATCACATTGGCATTAGCAACCTCGGATCACCACCATACCATGGTGGAGGTGTTTGCCTCTGTGATCCTAGGAGCCATGACCCCGTCCGGACTGAGGAGACCAGGGCCCCCGCCCTGGGGCCCGTCGTGGGGAAAGAGCTCATGGGCAAGCACCTGGTGACTGGGCCTCTACCCCTGGGGCCTGGCCGGGAATAGCCCGAAGAAATGACATGGGTCCACCCTCCTGCGGGGCCGCCGCCTGAAGGGGGGTGCTGTGGGGGTCGGGTGCCGTGTTGATCTGGTGGCAGTTGAAGGCAATGGCCTTGACTGATCATCGGCGACCAAATCAGGCTGTAGGTTACATGGAATGTGAATCTCTGGTGGGAAAGGAGCCTGAGCAGGTGAAGGAGGCAGAGAGACACCGACTAGATGCTCGGCTCGAGATCTGGAACCAAACTCCTGGAAAGGAGCTGGACTCTATTCCACTCTGGAGTTGCCCATGGTGAGAGGTGCCAAACAGGTGTGGGTCTACTTATAGCCCCAAGGGTTCGGCTAGTAGACTGGGGTTTACCCATCTGGCCTTCTTGGAGACCTTGCATGGGGTGCTGGATGGCACCCCCTGTGGGGACTCCATAGTATTGCTGGGGTACACAGCTGGGGTAGTGACAGTGCTATCTGAAAGCGTGTGACTGGGCAGAACAGCCTGCCCGATCTGAACCCGAGGATGGATGGATGGATGGTATTAGCAATATGAAGGTAGAAGTAACCGCAGTTTCTTTTGAAAACTTCACAAAGAAGTGTGGGAAATTTCAGTTTAAAAATTATACATCCATCATCCCCCTCTTTATCCAGCACAGAGTTGCAAAGGATCCTGGAGCTTTTCCCAGGCAGCACAGAACACCCTGGATGGGATGCCAGTCCCTCACAGGGCATGCACACAATATGTACGATTTACAGACTTATCAGAGGAGACCAGATTACCCAGAGGAAATCCATGCAGTGAGGGGAACATGCAGACTACCCAGATGTATAGAGAGGGGGTGGTATCCAAATCCCCAATCGCGTGGGGGAGGGACAACAGTGTGACCAGCTCTGTCATTGCGAAATACAACATGGTAAATGAAAAGGCAAAGGATGTTTACGAAAAAAAAGAAAAAATGAACTTCGAGTAATATTCTCACAAGAAAGAAGATAGATAGATGGATAGATTGATAGATTGATTGATTTTATTTATTGTGATTAACATTAACATGATAAACTGCGAAAAACGTCTGAAACTGCAGGATTATAATCAGACCTAAAATAACCTCTATCCCCTTTCCTCTGTGCCAATGCACGTTCATTTCCTGTGTGCTAAAAACACACATCGACAGAAGAGAAAGCCCAGCATCAACAATCCAGTTCAGCATGTTCAGTGTCTGTATACTCAATGCACACATTACTGTGTGACACATTACTTCCACGACCATCATCAAAATCATTTGCCATTTGTGCCACATTAGCTGTATTGTTGGTTTGTACCACACGGAATAGCCTTGAATCACATCCCTCATCTACGAGTCTTGGCCACCTAACATCCTGTTGGCAGATCCCTCCTCCGACCCTCTTAGTAGGTATTCACCATGACTGATTGTGAACATCCCGCAGGCCCTGCCATTTCCGAGATGCTCTGACCCAGTCGTCCTTTTCAAAGTCACTCAGATCTTAGGCCCAACTTATTGCTTCTGCATTCAACATGTCAAGTTTGCGTACTGAATGTTAGCTTACCATGTAATACATCCCAGACCTTGACAGGCACCATTTTTACGAGATAGTCACCATTATTCACTTCACAATGGAGGTGGTCATAATGTTTTGGCTCATCTGTGCATTTTTAACGTTGTATTTCCATCTAGCACAGTAAAAACATAGCGTGCATTTTCTTTATGTCACAAAGGAAGAACATACTGAATTCCATAGGATTTCAGGGGAAAAATAATATTAGCAGAAATTTTGAGGTCAAAGACTCCGTGTCCCTGGAGAATTTAGGCTAGAAGGTCTTGCTCAAGGGTCCAGCAGTGATGCGTTTCCCTTTCAGTTATGAGATTTGAACCCACAACCTTCCAGACACAGATTTATAACCTGATCTACCCACCAACTGTTAGACACAATTTTGACCTAATTTCACATTTCCCATCTTGGGGTAGGATCTGTGACTATCTAAAAGAGCTGCTGCGCTTTCCAGTGGTCCATTCTCACCTGAGCATGACCAGCCATGCAGCAGACATGTGGTTTTCCCTTCCATGCATTTCAATCCTTTCTGCTGGCCTCTTCGGAAATGCTTTGCTGCTGCCTGCAAACTTCTGCTCATAAAAGCCAGACCGCAGCCACCATGTCGTGGATTCAGAAAAGGCCGCCGGTCATTCATATTCCCACTCAGGCCCAGTCTAATGGCACAGCGACGAGTTGCTCTTTCAACTGTAAAAGTACTTTGGATACAGCTTTGGCTTAATCTTTCTGGCATGCCATAAATGACTTCAGACTTTCCATTTTATAAGGCTAATTTTCCTTGGCAGGCGAATTGGCCGAAACAACTTTGGATGCATTTTTGAATTAGACCCTGGAGAGGTGAACTGTTTCAGTACTGGTATTAACTGCAGGCTGTCACTAACTCGTGAAATTGGCCTGTGTGTGCGCTTATCGGGCTCATTCACTATTCATAAGGTTAGATATGGACATATTCCCCCTGTCCATTGAATTGCTATGATTGTTTTTAAACTGTTAATCTATTTTGTGATTTTGTGTCCAAGGCAGATAGTACTGCTCCAGACTGGGCACAGTACACTTGCCGAAGCGAGTATTTGATTACTGAAATGACGATCCCACAGGCAGGTGACTGCTGAAACACAACTATGCACCGTCAGCTATGAAAAAGAAAACATCTGATGTTAGACGAAACATGCAAAGGAAACATCAATAAATAAAAGCTACAAACATAAGTAGCTGTACAGTTATGCAATATATACCTAAAGAACATGCAGTGTCTCTGTGCTGCTTAAAAATTCTTCCTGGCACTGAACTAGCTGTGGTGGTGAGTATAGTCACTGAAATGAACATGACTGTGAACAGGTTAAGTACTCCAGCTTTGCTTTTAAAATGGAGCACGTATGACTGCCTCGTTTCCCTTGGCTTGCTTCAAAACCTGGTTGAGTAATTTGGCCCATTTATAGAGCCGTGACACCCATGTAAACACCAGGTTGGCCCCAGATGCAAGCTGGTGAACGGAAGTTCACTTATTGAGATGGAATGCCCTTGGGCTCCTGCTATTTCTGCTGCAGGAGATACTGTGTCGCTAATCCTGCCGAGCGGAAGTTTCCGGATACAGCTCGGGTCCAGGCCGTGTTCACACACTTACAGAGGGCCTCTGAAAGAAGGCTCTGGGTCACCCCGAGGTTTTTAAGTTTCCATTCTAATTCGAGGGCTGGAACCAGCTCAGTTAAAGGCACAGTGCAGTTTGTGAAAAACTACTTCATCATGATAGGTCAAAACCATCATTATTTCAAGATATTGTAAAAATCCCAATTTTATTTGTTTATTATGACTTTCCCTCTATCTCAAATATGTCAGATATTTATCATTAACACTGCATCTCTATTAGAAGCACTGCAGTGTAACTGTAACACTGCACATCTGAGCTCAGGTCCCCATTGTCCCCGACACAGTTGCTCTCAATCAGAAATGTGGTTTTTTTTTTGTGCAGAGTAAAAAATGAAGGCACACTCTATCATTCATGTATTTCATGATTCAGATAATGTGAATTAATGATAAAACAGATATGGTGACTGTGATTTGTACTTTTTGGTAGTGCGATATATTGCATTAAACGTCGTATTAGACAACATGTGCGGGGGAGAACATGATGGCGTTTGTTTAACGCTACAAAACAATAAAATTACATCAGTATACATTTTAATTTCCAAACCCATTATCAAAATACATACATAAAATATTTTTATTACTTTTTCACTGCAATCCAAAACAGCTTACAATTTCTCCCATTTATTCAACCTAATACTTGTCTGTTCAAATTCAGGTACTGATACCAACAGGCTGGAGACCAGCCCAGTACCCCTCAGATCTGTCCTAAGCATCCTGCTGACATAAAACATGCGTGAAGGACGGTTCAGCTGTATGATGCTCTAAACCACTTTGTCAGTCTTTCAGAACACTTGGGATTTTCCCTTTACAATGAGAGGTTCCAGCGTGTTCCCTATCTGAAACTTCCCAAGGCCACGCCCCCCCACCCTCTCCCCTAACTGACCTTGTAATGACCTGGCACACCCCAGGCCCCTGATTTACCTGCCATCATTATCACCATCATCGTTTATGCTGGACATTCCAGTTATGTATAAAATCTTCATCATCAGCATGCAAGCTGGAATTATAGCAGGGGTAGTACGACTGAGCACAGCCCACGTTGCATAACATTGGAATGTGATATTCATTATAAAAATTACATTTGAATTTATACAAGACCTACTGCTAGACACAGGCAGACATCAGGTCGCTCTACTGCTCTAAAAACTTGGTTCCATTTGCTTTGGTTTTTCAACAATGAAAACCGTCATCAACTGTAATTTCTCTTGTAATTAAAGGTCGTTTTTACTCTTTTACTTCATAATACACATGGGTGATTATATGTATGTATGTATCCATGTATGTATGTAAGTATGTATGTATATATGTATGTGCATATGTATGTATATATGTATGTATGTATGTATGTGTGTGTGTGTGTGTGCAGGGTAGCTGTAAGCAGGAGGAAAGTCAGGACGATTCCAAGGGCCCCAGACTGACAGGGGGCCTAAATATACAGCTACTTAAAATTTGGAAAATAACTGGATTGGTCCGGACTGGAGGGCCCAAAATGTTTAGCAATGCCCCTGTGTGTGTGTGTGTGTGTGTGTGTGTGTGTGTGTATATAATGCAAAAAAGTTACCATGTGTGCACATTTCCTTGCAAATCTTCCTGGCAAAATAAGGAGATCACACTACATAGACAAATAATAGATTCCATTTTTGGCACCTGCTTCAAACAGATGATTCACATGTAATGAAAATGGCCCAGGCTGGGTTTTATTTACCCGGGTTTTTCCTAAGAATCATCTCTAGTAAACCTTAGCAATAGCATATTTATTTGATCACAGATTATTCTGTGAATGGGAATTTATCCAATGCATGAGTGAATTTGATATATGACTGCAAAATAATACATAAAATAATATAATATAATATAATATAATATAATATAATATAATATAATGAGGGAAAACATGCATGTACAGTAACATAGTGACATGACCCATGGGAGTTTTACCAATCAAATTGCAGAGGAGGTAGGTCGAAGCAATTAGAATAAGCAGGACCAACCAATGAGATGTCTTGACCCCGCCTCCTCTAGTTGCTTGGACCCACCTCCACTACCTGATTGGTATCTGACTGGATCTTTCTGAACCAATCATTTTTCCTTCTGCCCTCAGAACATTTTTCTGTAAGTAAAACTCCCACGAGATAGTAACATAGGAACAGGTGTTACAGAGATGCATATCATGGCAGACATTGGCATACAGTGACATAACGACATGGAGGCAGGTGATACAGTGAGGTAGAGCACAGGAGACATTCGTACACAGCAACGAAATTATATGGAGAGAGGTTTTCTGGTGATGCAGAGTACAGCAGACATTTATATACGGTAATGTAGTGATATGCCAGTGAGCAATTCACTGACGCACAGTAGAGCAGACATTTATATATAGCATTGTTATAACATGGAGGCAGGTGATACGGTGAGGAAGAATACAGCAATGGTTCGTGCACCATGGCTTAAAAACATGCCCTGAGGTCCTCACCAAGAATAGTTTAGGCAGTGATAAGTGAAGTTTTTCACTACACGCTCACACAGCAGTCCTGTCGAAAATAATGCGCTCACATTGCTGGCCCAGGTCTGACTCCGCACGTTGTTTTGCATCATTCTCTAGAATGTTCACCTGCAACTGCCGACAAAGTAATGACATAATTACAGGAAGAAGACGAGCCATCCGAGACCCGCCCATGGATCGGCCTGCGGGAGCAGGGCAGCCCAAACTTAAGTAGCCTGCTGCCGTTCAGGCTGATTCTTCAGTAAACATCCAGGCCTCTGCTCACTCTGCACTGAAGTGGCCACATTTTGTTTAACCAGTGCCAGTAGGGAAAACTCTACTGGATTTTTACATTTATTTAAAAAAAAAAAATAGACTATTTAAATCTGTCAATTTTTTTAAGTTTCTGTTGTGATGTGAACTTATGTGAGATTTTAAAAAAGGTTCCTGACTGCGATAAAAAAAAAATAATAATAATGGTGCATCCTTCTCTGTGTAACTTGTTTTGGAGCCAGTCCTCTACCATGAAAAATTACCGGCCTCTGCAGCTCTGTCCTTTCCTTGTCTTGCCTGCATCAAAGTTTGCACAGCTTGTCTATGCGCAGTGTGTACTGAACACGGCTATAGTAAACAAAATTGTGTGGGAGTTGGAGATCAGGGGTTGAATACACCAAAACATTAGTAATGGGGCAATTCATTAACTTAACTGTTCAAAAGGAAGACAGCCAAAATAGTTCTGATTCATTCATTGGACAGCTGAACTCTCCTAAACTTCAGTTTTATAAGAAAAACACTTTGTTTTTATAGCTGAATGTTTCCTGTGAATGTAAAACATGTCAACTATATGTGTACAATTGCTACATGCCTTCATACTCAAGTACTCTATTTTCTGTTTTCAGCTGATGGGATTCCAAGTTCGGTGGGGGCTCAGTGGGAGGGACTGTTGCCTCAGACTACCAAGGTTTGGGGATCAAATCCTGCCTCTTCTCTGTGTGTGTGGAGCTTGGCTGTTCTCCCTTATGTCATGAATTTCCACCTACAAACTAAAGACATACAGTTAGGCTAGCTGGCATCTCAAGTTTTCCTGTGGTATATGAAGGTAAATGTGTCCTGTGATGGACTGCCGTTCTCTCTGTGGTGTTCCCCAGCCCCGTGTGGCCAGGAATAGGCTCCTGGCAACCATGACTAGGACATGGTGCTTGGAAGAAGGATGGAACTCCAAGATTTACTCACAACCCCATAGACACACTAGAAGTATTGCAAAGGTTCAACAGCTATTATCAAGAGAAAGGATGATTATACATGGTCTTTGACACATGAAAAAACAGAGGAACTGCCAGATTTTGCAGGATGTGATCAAAGACCTACAATGTCCCTGACATGCTGCAGGTGACTGCTGTGTTTGCACTTGGTCCTTGTTTGCCGTCTGTCGTGTGTGTGCTGGCATTGATTGTGTTGGGTGTCTCCTGCAACTTGACTTGCCTATGAAGATAGACCACCCTTCTTCTGTATCCAGGGAGCATACACAGAGCACATGGGTGCAGACCACAGATATCCCACAATGCCCCACAGTCCCCCACAATCCCCTCCATTTAAAACCAGATACTCCCACGCACACACATCGGTGACACACATACAGGGACGGAGCGTTAAACAGATTGTATGTATTCCACCTCATTTCTGATATACAGAGTCAACTGTTTGTAATCCCACTGATAAAGTATTAAATTATCATTTGATATGGCGTCTGGCAGCATGAACACATTTCATATGCATTTTTGTTGTATTTGCTGCCTGTACAATAGCAATAAAGGCATTCTGTTCTATTCCACTATAGGCACAGCAAAAATAATAATACTGAACTGTCAATATGAAATTGGTGTCTTTTGATAATTCCACTAATATTTCAGTGTCTGTTGTATTACAGTAAGAATAAATAAATGAAAGTGCTGGTACTGCCGTTAACACCAGTAGACATCTCCAGTGCCTGACATTTCACACAAATTGTGCAATTTATGTTTTCTAAAACATACAGAACTGCTACAGTTCTGAGTTCCTGTAGCTTGCTTGTGTAGCATACATGATCTCCCTGAAATGTCACACGGGTTTCCTATCACAGCCCAAAGATGTGCTGCTAGGCTACACTTCCCATGCTGCCTGCTTGCATGCAGCAAAAGCTCGGAATCCCATACAGGGAGAATCCCAGTGTTACACCCAGTACCACCAGCAATATGCACTGGACAAGTGGTGGAAAGATGGACAGATATTTTTCACAACATCTCTAAAATAAATGTAACATTTGTAGAGAGCATGCAAGAGTTAGGACTATTCCTTTACATGCCCTTGCAGATTTGATGTGTTTGTTAGCAAACGTCTGTGAAAAATCCACCAAATCTATGAATACAGGCCTGACTCAGAAGTGAAGGGTAAGGTCTTTTTCTTACACAGAGTGTAAAGTCAGGAAGCCTAACTCTGGGACTGAAGTTTTGCTCTGTTCCAAACTGCCACCTCCCACGAATCCCCACCATGCCCCCACCCCGCCCCCCACCCCGCTTGCAGCATATAAACATCTTTGCTGTCAGCTCTGCCCAGGTTTACTTTAATTGACAATAACAGTGCTGGAACTTTCCCCAGCAGAGGGTTGGCCTCCTTCCTGTGTGAGTAACGGCGGCTCACCAGTGCCATAGTGCTCCGCACTGGACGGCATCAGAGACTCGTGTAACGCTGCCATTTCCGCACCTGCCACACCTCCTGTCCCCACCTTCATGTTCTTCCACCACCTCCCAGGGCTTGAGATATTTAACCCATTACACTCCGGGTAGTGCCTCTGCCCCCCCCCCCCACATGACCCCCCAACCCTGAGAAGTCTACACTATCCCCACACATCTGACACACAGCAGGAATTACACAGGATTTTGCGTTTAATTCACACATGCAGAATTCACTACAAAGCACACATTAGCAAACATTTATCAGCTTGCAAACAGCAGCAATAATTTCAGAAACTCTTTTATTTCTGAGCAAGTCTTAAAATGCTCACTGGCACTATTTACAACTCCGCCGCTGTCTCTCAAACTACAGACGCCGCAGTGAATCACACAATCATCTGTCAGCGCACATCTGTCATCCCGCACTGCAGCAGCGTTATCTGTTGCTGACAGTTCAAGTTGCACACTGTAGCTTCCAGCACAGACGGCGGCCGTTACATTGCGAACTGACTACTCGCACAATGATGGTGTTTCCAGTCAAATGATGAATGGATAGCAGTGTGCCGTGGGAAGCATGTCAGTCGGCTTGCCGCTGACGGTGGATGGGGCAACGCAAGGCAGAGCTACAGCAGAACAAACGAGACAGACGACGCAAAACGAGAAAGAAAAACGACACAGACCTTGTCAGAGGCTGCAGAGCGCTGAAAACTGTTTTCCTTATACAGTCCCTCTCCCCCGCTCTCTCTCTCTCTCTCTCTCTCTCCCTCTCTGTCTCTCTCTCTGTCTCTCTCTCGCCACCTCTTGCTCCCCGCCTCTCTGAAACTCCCTCCCCTTTAAGCCCTTCAGCTGCTCAGTGTAGTTCTCAGGAAATGAATGGGGGCTCACAGAAAACTGTTGTACTTGCAAATGACTTACCACAGTCACATGATCGGTTAAATGCGGGGTGGGCCGGTGGGTGGGGAGTACATGAGCTGGGGAAGACAATATGCTCTAAGCTTTAACAGCATGCATCGAATTACACGGGGGCCCCTTGGGGGGGGTTCCCGACAGGTTCGGTTAGCTCTTGTCCCTGCTCTCTGTGCTGTTGACAGCAGATTGCCTCCCACATTAAAAAGAGAGAGAGAGAGAGAGAGAGATATGGGGGGGGGGCAACAAGAATACAGGAAAAAGTGGTGAGCCTCTTTCTTCAGAAAAGTGCTGTTCACCTATTATAGACAATGCACATCATTAATTGGCAACTGGGCAATTCCACTCCCTATATGTTTTTGAAAATATGGGTCTGTCGTTTTCAGTGCTTCACTAAATCGAGCCTGGAAGCGGCAGTGGGGATGTTTATGACTCAGAAAAGCTCCTCTGGGGACCCAAATTAGTGTAAAGGAAGCAAAACTAATTTGCATGACTGATAAATCAGGGTTTAGCGAGAGGAAGTCGTTCCTGGGCTGCATAGCAGAATCCCTCCCTGCCCCACTATCTGCCCTCCTGTATTTCCTGTACAGAGCTGCCACTTGCACACTTGTCGGTACTTGGTCTTTTAAACAGAGTGATTTCTCTTTTATGTTTTATATTTTTTCCATTTACTGATACTGTATATCAGGCACATGAGGAAAAGGTGCTTTTTACAAAAAAAAACCCAAAAAAAACAGCTAAATCACCTTTAATTATAAACAATACACATGCCAGGAAATTTTGAGAACTCTGGTTACTAAACGAAAAGCCATAAAGATAAAATGGTGATTTTTAAAAGGAAAATAAGTTGTGAATCGTAAACAATGTCTCCATTGAGGTTAATTGGAATCTCTAAATTGCCCTTATTGTGTGTTTCCTGCGATGGACTAGCACCCATTTTTCGGGGGTTCGCCTACGCCGTACCCCTTGCTGTCTGGGATAGCCGCTGCGCACCCACCTCACAGCTCTGTACTGGGGAATCAACTGGAAGATGGATAGATGGGATTCTTAGTTTGTCAAACAAAAGGCTTCAGGCTTGGGGAAGATGCAGAAGCATGAAGTGCGGCTCTCTGGGGCTGCGGGGGCAGGGGGGAAGGTGGGTGACAGGCAGCAATCTCACCTCCTGGCTCTCCAGCAGCAGTGATGATAGACCACTCCCACGGCTCTGCTCATCTATTTCTTTTACAGAATCTGGAGAGATGGGAAAATGCAGGTGCCCTGGACCCGAGCTTCCTCTTTCGGATACATGATAGGGAAAAACCATCTTCATTATGCAGGGGGATGGATACCTGAGAGGGATGAACCATCTTCATTATGTAGGGGGATGGATACTTGATAGGGATAAACCATCTTCATTATGCAGGGGCTGGGATACCTGATAGTGACCAAGCTTTCCCAGCATGCAATGCTTACTGTCAAAGTTTGAGAGGATATTACTCAGCTTTCTCTAAACTGATGGCAGAAGCATCTTAATATCCAGCATAACTATGTTTGTTTGGAAAAAGACAGTTTTTCATGTGATTAATTTAATGGAGCATGTTTTTTCATTACCAGATATATATAACATTTCAGAAAATATGTTATAATCACAACATTAAGTTATGAAAATTGTTAAACATGCAGCAACATATGGAAACACACCTTCATCCCCCAAGATATGGAAATTAAGCCCAGCTTATGTGTAATTATTATTTTTTATATAAGGGAAGGTACTATTATTCAAAGCCATAAAAAGTAAGCCAAAGGTAACATTAGGACAAAGGTGATGAGGTGATATTATGAGATATGAACCTGACTTCAAAGCTGGAGCAAGTAATGGCCAGTCTTTGTCATTAGACTGTGCATTCTACAGTCTTTGTCATTAGACTGTGCATTCTACAGTCTTTGTCATTAGACGGTGCATTCTACAGTCTTTGTCATTAGACTGTGCATTCTACAATGACTAATATTTGAGTTAAACCAGTATAGGGAAAAACAATGGATATTGGTTAGAACAGTAGGGTCAAGAAATTGATTCTAACACTCTGCCCAATGCCAGTAGACTGTATGAACGTTTGACAGTCCCATATGTTTGAGATTGGAGACAGGCATTAAAATAACACTGGAAGCAACTACTTTGGGAAGGGAGGATCTTTCATATGCATTTATAGGGTTCTTCAGAGGCACATGCTTGTGTTCGCTACCTTGAGGGGAATAATCCGTGATAGTTTCACTAACAGGGACAAAAATAATCCTACAGATGTCATTGGCTGAAACCTCCTGCTGCAATCCTCCATTTTGACAAACCCTCTCTGTCAAGTTAAAACTAAGGCAAGGTCAGCACTTTAAATCATTTTTATAAAACTCTTATCAAATTAAAGGCATAATTAAACGGGGTGGCTGTTGTAAGGAAATCTGACAACAAATGCCAGCTGAATACAGGAACTACAGGTTCAGAGCATGAATATAAGTGTAAATGTGCTGAACACGGCTCATGCCTGATCTGTATCACCTCAGACACCTGCTGGGTGGCTGGAATTGGACCTGCAGAGATGTCCACTCTTGTATTTTCCTGCAAACCCTCACCATATTTCTGTTACATGCTAGACATACAAATCAATGACATGAGGCTATTGGTGTGGAAAATTTTGTGCCATTTTCTGGGAAAGATCTTGACCTGACAACCTCACCTGGGAAGATCCATTTCTGTCCGAAGGTATACTCCATTGGGACGATATCACCCTGGCCGTAGATGGGTGGAGCTTATGGTATTAGTGTTGGCCATTGTGCAGTCCCAGTGCTGCTCAGAAAACTGATCACAACATAATCTGCTTCAACAAATAGTGTGTTTAAAACTTCAGTCTGTCATTCAGGTTTATATTTGTCAGGGATAATTAACACAGTACTATCTTTATCTTAATTTGGACTGAATTATAAATCAAACTTTTTAAAAAAGATTAAATAAAACTTTATTCATCCTGAGGGAAATTATTATGCCAAGGCAGAGCTCTCACCATGCAAGATTAAAACAACAAAGCTTAAAAAATACTAAAAAAAAAAAAAAAAGAATACAGTGCAATACTAGAACACATTCAGAAAAAGATCTCACCAAATTCAATTTAATAAAATGTCTGGAAATGCTGATAATCAAACTGGTAGTATATATCTGGGGGAAATGTAGACATGTATTTAAAAATTGGGCATTTATAACTTTTTATTTGCTGTCAGAACTACTGGATATTTTAATCTATCTTTTGTCAATACTCTATCAAAAATGACATGAGACACTTCTAAATTTGGAAGTACAGTATTACGTTCCTTAATGCCAGTTTAAATATATTCAGTATATGCATAAAATTAATAAAATCCTGTCTAAAAGAAATTTACTTGACTAACATATATTTTCCCTGTATATTGTTTCGGTGACACCTTAATCCAAATGTAGATTCACCGTGCAAACACCAGTGGAGAAAAAAATTAATAAAAATTATCATGGAATGTATTAAACAGAGCAAATGCAAAACTGTGTGACGCTGTATATTAATGGAACCTCAGTCCTGCTATATAAGACACAGGATGCTAATGGGGGATTTTAAACCCAAAAAGCAGGGAGTTTCAAAAGACACTTGAGGTCATGACAACAGGAAAAGTATAGCTTAGGTCACTCTATAGGCAAAGGAGCAACCCAATAGAAAACTGATGAATAATAGAACATCTTGTATCAAACCCATGTCAATGGAACAATGGCCTGGCTTATTATCCCTCTGGAACAATGCAGACAACTTTGTTATGAGTGTGAACAAGAGGTAAATCTTTGTTGCAGGTACTTTAGTGACCATTTGAGGTCTTGGGAGGGGATGTCGGAATTCTACCGCTGGGAGTGATGGTTGGATCCTCAGCATATTGACACTGAAGGTCCTCTTGTATTTATGAAATCCCACTGAAGTATGCGTTGAGCTGTACATTATGAGACTACCCTTGAGAGATCATTTATCCTTGGTCTTAGACACAGCATCACTATCTCATACATACTCCACTTTACTCTTACACAAACACTACTACACCCTCTTACATGCACAATCATACTCTCTTTTATTTACTATCATACTCTCATACACACAGCATCATTCTCTATAGCTACTCATACAAACATTATATGCTTGCATAATAGTCTGTGTAATAGAGGAAAACAGTACATACGGTATCTATGCGAGTATGGTAGTATATGTAAATGAAGTTTACAGTGTATGTGAAACAAAGGATTAATATACTTACACATTCTGTAAACACATACAAAACAAGAGTGCTGCATATTCGCTCAAAGACAAGGGACGCTTTCCAGGGACGATGAAACGAGATGCATCATTAGGGCTGGGAGCAATATCGGTAGATGTTCCAAATGAGATATAGGACGACACAATATTGTTTATGGTGATAAGATAAGATAAGATAAGATAAGATAAGATAAGATAAGATGGAAAGTAAGTGTTTAGCATAGAGAGGTAGAATCATCTCTTGCCTTCATGGGAGGTGCATACTTAGTGCAAGTGTAACGGTTCAGTGATGAGTCAAAGAAAACGTTGGGTTAGTGTCCTCCAAGCTGAGTGGGGTGAGGGATCTGGAGACCTGAAGTAAAAACAGATGGAATTAAGCATGAAGGTGTCTCTGACGTGCTCAGTTATGCATCTTAGGGTCGAAGGTTTGTTCAGCCTACCAGCTACCTTGATATTACGCCCCAGAAAATAAAGAACATGACGCTGGATATCAGAGGCAGGTAAGGCTTGAAGCAGTTTTCTGCACACCAAAGGACAGGTCAAGCTCCTCCAAAAGAAAAACTTATTCAACATTTTTCTTCGTCACGTGGTCAGGCTTATAGACATGAATGGTGACAGAGGTCATCAGCTCCAGGACCAACAATTTAGTCTTTCTG